AGATATTTTACCAATTCCAGTCAAATGTGATAGTAAAGCAGCCATTTACATTGCCACAAATCCAGTTTACCATGAGAGGACAAAGCACATTGAACTCGATTGTAATTTTGTGCGTGAGAAATTACAAGATGGGCTCATTACTCTTGACTATATCCCCACTAGGTCTCAAGTTGCAGATATGTTCACCAAGAGTTTGCCCGGTCCAGTTCATCATCATCTCCTTCCCAAGTTGGGAGTTCTATCACCCACCAACTTGCGGGGGGCTGTTAGTGAATATCACACTTAGTGTTATATTTTTTCTTATTTGTTATGCTCGTGCTGATGTGGCTTAGCTTAATATGTTTAGTATAAATACTCTCTTCCTTTTCGTTTTGTATGAGTTAGTTCAGAATATTCCCGTAACAAACGCCTTCTGTTATTTCCGATACAATGGAGTTCTTCGTTTCTTCATCTTCTTCGTTAAGCTCTTGAAGTTTTCTGCTCAATTCTTCAATTTGAGCTTAAATCAACATATATGGACTTCAAAAACAAACCTTGGGGTCTATATGTGGGTCTCCCCCTGAACCAACAACGCATCCCTTGATCTTGTCCAATACATCCTTTCGATTCCTCCAATTGTCAAGAATGGCACCATATCTGCAGAGGAGACCAACTCAAAATGGTAAATTTGAAAGACACACCCCCAATCTAAGGCAAGAGAGTTGATCATAACCATTAACTCAATCCCTTCATATTATGATTATAACTATATGTGCCTCATTTGTGAATGAAACAGTGATATCAGAACATATATTGGTAAAGACCAAATGAAAATCAGGAGCCCAATAAGTCAACCTACGCAAGCCAGCCGGTATTGCTGAAAGTATGGAAGATCAAGACCCTTTCCCTTCCGTCCTTCTCTGACTGTGACAGCCACGAAGCCAGCTCACTAGCCATGGATGAAATCCTCTCCTCGAGTTTTCGGGCTAAATCGAAGGAAAGGACATCTCTCACTGAAGCTGCAAACGTTACAGAATGAATACCCATGGACTTATACAGCTCAATGTACCTTCTCAGGTGCTTAGGCTTGGCTCCTAGCCAACCCAGTAAGACCAGTCACCACAGGCCCATTACTTCCCAGACATCGAATTCCCCGCCCCTTTTCTCCGTCCGGAGCAAAATGCCAATCGAAGAGCTTGTCTTTGGGACCCCAGAAGATGCGCGCAAAAATAGGAGAGGAAATTATGGGATTCAGAGAGAAGAACGGGAAACCATTGTGGGTGAGTGTGGGAAGGTGGGAATTGAAAATAATGCGTTCCAGGGTTTGCCATTGTAGATGGAGAGTGACACACGGGAGGTTGGAATTGGACGGAAACGATGTGGAATTGTTGAAATATGTTTGGGGAAAAGGCTATGAGAAGGGGTTCGGAGGAAGAGAGGCTATGTTTTGGGATTATTCAAATTTTTTAAAGTTCAAATTCACATCAATTTGTGTTAGGGTCCGTTTGGTATCCGGAATTGGTGGAATTGGAATTGAATTTGAATTGAAATTCCATGAGATTCAATTCCATAGAATTGAATTCTGCCAATTTCAATTCATTTTTTGCACTATCAATTCCAAATCCACATATTTTTTGTGCTACCAAACGCCAGAATTGGAATTGAAGTCCCCAATTCCAATTTCATAGTTTGAATTCCATGTACCAAACAGAACCTTAGAAAACTTAGGAATCCGCTGGAACTCCACCCACTTCTATAGATAAAATTTGTTTATGCCTTTTTAGTGATGGCTTGATGACATTAATATGAGGCCTAAGCACTGGACTCCTTTCATCTCCATTTATTTTGTTGTAGTGTTTTTGTTTTCTCCCAATTTTCTAGAACTAAACATTGTCTTAGCAGACCTTCAGTATATCTCATTCTCTTTTAAATCAGCACTTAAAGTACCAAATTTCTCATGAAAATCAGCCCTTAGGTTTCAAAAACATCCCCCAAAACTGTCAGTTTTCCCATACCATGATATGTAGCGCGCACCTTCTTTTTAATTGCAGGCGTGAAGATAATGCAAGTTCAATTTACCTTGAATCTATGTCTTAAATATATGCTGCATTTTTATCAATTTATATATTGTGTTACTTCTTTTTGTTAATTATCATTCCTGAGTTTAATATCAACATTCTGTCTCTAATTTGATTTAATGTGCTATCAATTTCTCTTTTCTGTTGTTAATTGAATACTACAAATTTCTGAGCTTATTAGACACACATTATATCATGTATACTTAAAATTTTGTGCTTGATCTATAAATTTTATTCTTCCAAATGTGATGACTTTTGAATATGATAAAAAGGTAAGCCTGTAAGTCATTTATCTTTTTTCCCTTGTTTGTGTAGACTAATTCGGTTTATTCTAATTTGTTTTTAGATCAACGTATGCCCCTGGATGATTTAGTTGGTCATTTGAATTTCAGGAGGTTAGTCTTTAAGCCCATTATATTTTCCGTCATTTATTTCGGAAAACTCACATGTTATAGTCATGTGTTTCTGTAATTGGCTGCTTGATTTTCAAGCAAATATGGTTAGAAGATTATTCGTTGTTCTCCAATATTTTTTATGTAGACGTATTCACACCGCTGACATTCATTGACAACCAACAAATGTGAGTGATAACTTAAGGATTTTATATATATCTCAATATACTTTCCCTAAATCCAGTTCCTTTTTGGCTGCAAATTTGAAAATTAAGTTTTAATCAAATGATTGATTTGTATTTTCAAACCTAAGAACTTTAAACCAGACTTTAAATGGAGATGGTCGGAATGGTGTTAGCTACTCCCGAGTACTTGTGATTAACATTCCCATTAATTGGAGAGGTCTACGAATTGAGTTAATGTTTGACTCTAAGTAAACTATTTCTTTTGAAAATTTGCTGCCCTGTATATTGTTTCAATATCATTTCTTATGATTGTTTCAAATTCCAACATCATGCTTCTAATATTTTAGGTACCACCACTGCTTATTTTCACTCAGGATATATATTACTCCATATATTTAAAATTTGTAATATGCAGGACTACTTGGTGTGTATTCGATTTGGTTTCTTGTTTGTTTTGTTCATGATTTTCTTCGTTTAGATATTTTTACAGATAATATTTGTCTGCACATATTTACACATGACATTTCCCTTTTGGTGTTGTAGGTTTGATAGAAAAAACATATCAAATGGGACTGTTTGATTTTTGTAAGGGGCTAGCTCTATAGCAATAACATTAGTGGGAGAAACCAAGATCCCATGTGCTCTTAAAATCTGCAACACATGTATATATCACTACGTAGAAAAAAGAAGCCTTTGTGCCTCTTCTGTAAACATTACCTTTTGAAGGGGTGTGTAAGGGCTATTGTTAAAGACGTGTCTTTTCTCTTGGGCCTTACACGCACAGAGTGCGTCTTAAGCTAGTATATATATATATTCCCAAACCAAATGGACCCATAAAGTAAAATTTTAGATGTAGAATTACAATTTACAAAGGACAATGCAGAATTAATTGAAAGAATGAGAGAGGCTTATTTATCCGGGACGAAACCTGAGATCGCCTTCACTGCGACGGGAAACCTGCGATCTGAGCTCCACTGCTAAGACTGTGTTTGGTTCAAGGTAGAGTGAGGTTTAATTATAATGTTATCTTGTTTGGGAGAAAAAATTGAATTAGGTAAGGAGAGGTAACCTTAGCTCTCAAAACGCGATAAACCTAGGTAAATAATTAGTTCCGCTGCTCTTCCCTTTTTTTTTCCTTCTGGCGCAGGTTGGACGCTTTCCTCTCCCATCGCCGATCTTCATCTCTCGCTGCTTTGCAGCTCCTCTTCCTGCGACGCAGGTTATTCATCTCCCTTCATCTTCCAACTCTTCGTTTATTCATTTTTTTCTTCAATTTTTTGAGATATGCGGGTTAAGAGTTTTCCTATCCAGCACGTTTTGTTTACTTTTATTTTGTGAAATATTGAAATTTGCTGTTTTTTTCCAGTTTTTTCCCTTCTTTCAATTTTCTTTTGTGCCGTTGATTTTTTGCTATTTTTTTGTCTGTTTTTTTCGTTTATTTGTTTTTGCTGTTTTTTCTGCCGTCTTGTTTTTCTGTTTTTTATGTTTGCCGAAGAAGCTTGTTTTGGTTTTTTATGTTTTTTTATTTTCGTGTATTGATGTTTTTTTTGATATTTATAGAAAAATGCTTTTTTTTGTATTGTTTTTTTGGCATGCTGAGATTGAATATTATAATGGCATGCTCAATTTTACACAAGCATTTACTATGTGGGGATCCGAGAATTTTAAACAAGTATTTGCTACGTGGGGATCCTGACGAGGGTATTTAAGTAATTTTATTATTTTCCTTACCTCACATTACCTACCTAATAAATATCCAAACACAATTTTTCAACTTATTACCTTAATTTACCTAACTTCAATTACCTACCTCCAATTACCTACCAAATAAAACTTAATAGCAAAACATTACCTACCTCTCTTTGCTCTGCAATTTTATTATTGACAACTCTATTAGCACAATGACTCATTGATTTCTGTTTGATTGCTAAGTGTTCGAGTAAATGTATGAATGAATTGCTGAATGCGGTGTACTAGATGTAATTTTAAATGCATGAAAAGAAATTAAATGTTGGGCTGTTTCACGAAATTAAACCTAAATATGACGTTTTTGTCACAATTTTCTTGTTGAGAAGCTTTTTCTCTTATTCATCGTCTTTCATGAAGATGTTAGGGAAAGAAAATGCAGAGAGAATTGGGAAGTGAAGATTATTTATGAAAAAAGGTTTAAACTCAATGAATAAACTTTAGATATTGCACAAACTCATAACCTGTGATTTTTATGGATTTTGATTCAGTGAATACTATGGAGTAATGAATATGCAGAGTATGTGAAAACAATTTTAAATATTATTCAATTTTGATTTTCCTTTACGTTTCCAAGGTAAAACCAAACTGTGCTAACCTATGTCATCTGTCTTTTTGTTTTTTGAAAACTCTATCTTTTTTTGGTAGGGGTCCGGTCTGCTTACCCTGGTCACTGTCTCGCAATGCAATTTTCATCTAACACGAAGTAAAAATACTCCCTCTGTCCTAAAACTTTCTTCTCAATTTGACTTTTCTCCATTTTTAATTTTTGGTTTTGATTTCAAATTTTACCCTCCTTAAAAAAGATTTTTTTGAAATTTTATTTTACAATCATTCAAAATATAGAGTTAGAAGATAATTGATGTAAATACATAAGGGTATTAATATCATTTGTCATCTTTTTTTCTAAAGAAAAGGTAGTTTTAGGACGGAGAAAATTGGGAATGGGGAAGAAAGTTTTAGGACGGAGGGAGTACTCTATTCGTCCCCAATTTGATTACAAATTGTGAGTTAGGAAAGGAAAATTTTCCACTTTTTGAATTCATTTTTTTTACAAATTAGTATATCAATAAGATATAAAAATTACATACTAAAAAATTATGTCAAAAGTTATACAAAACAAGAGATGACAAGAATATTCTATTTTATCAAATACTTAATCAAATCGCGTAAATAAATAAAAGTTATCGAGAGGAGAGAAAAAAAATTGTAATCAAAATACGGACGAAGCAAGTAAAAAATTTTCCAGATTGACTCACAAAATTTGAACGGGACAAGTAATCTGGGACCGGGTAGTAGAAAATAATAATTTTTTTTTTTAGAAAAAAGACCCAAAATTGGGTTCCATATGAAGCTAGAACACTTCTCCACGTTGGGTAAGAGATAGTTAAAGCAGAGCATATAATATCAGTTGCTACAAGATATAAGATGTGTCTCATGTTTTATCAAGAGGATGTAAATATACCAATAGAAGATTGGCACATAACTTGCCCTCACTTTGAAGAACCCAACTACGGAAATTCTTCCGATATGTAAAGTTCCAGAAATGGATATAACGCAGATTTCATTTGCCGAATTCCCAGATCACTCCTCCATCCTCTGCAAACATTCAATCAGCAATTAGCTCAAAGCAGGTTGGTTTGGTGGTAACACTGTGTGTTTTATGTTTTCACCTCTCAGAAAGAAAACAAATTGTTTTTTTTTCAATTCCTAAAAATATATAAACATGTGTCAGTAAGCCTGGTTTGCACGTGGTGATTTACGCTCACATAAAAATACACGAACCATGCCCAAATCAAATATATGTTTCCAAAAAAACAATGAAAATAGAAATTCACGCAGCAAATAATTTTAAATTTTGTGTTTTTGTTTTCAGAAACTAAAAGAACTTACGCACATAAGAGAGAGGTGTTTTGTTTCTATTGTCAGAAAAGTGAATAAATATTGTACTTTTCAAAAGTCACACCTTAGGTTTTGATATATTATGATTTATTAAGGATTGGTTATGAATGTGCAGTGACAGATATGGATACTGCAATTTGTTTTCAAATATGGGGTATGAGAAAGTGTGTTCTATATGCTTCAATAATATTTAGAGAGAGAGAGAGAGATACTTCATATCATATACTATATG